ACACTTTGTAACCTTTACGAGGACATAAAATCTTTATCTTATATACACTTGGGAAATCCTAGAGAGATTAGTACCAAACCTGCACATGAAAATCACTCCCAACAAAAGCAAAAGACTCAGCAGGAGATGCAACATTCCCCCAATGAAAAGCAGGGGCGCCACGAGTACACTAAGAGACAATACAATAAGTGTCAGGGGCTCAAGACTGTTCAACTGCCTCCCAGCATACATAAGGGGGACTACCTACAGACCCCTGGCTGTCTTCAAGAAGGCACTGGACAGGCACTTAAAGTCAGTACCTGATCAGCTGGGCTGTGGTTATTATGCCAGTTTACATGTGGCCAGCAGTAACAGCCTGACTGATCAGACCCTGATCCACTACAAGGCCTGGTCTCAGACCTGGCCACGGGAGTGTTGACCCCCGAAACCCTTTCCAGGTATACTACAGGCAGTAATGAGGTAGTGGGTGGCTACATGACTAAATATGTGGGCTATGAAATAAGGGTAAGGTGTAGGTGTGGGGCTGTATAGGCCTGAAGATGTGAGGAGTGGTGTGAGTGAAAGCATGGGTAAGGTGTGGGAGTGGGGCCATGTGGGCTTTTGGTTGTGGCAGAGAGTGAGTGAACACATGGGTAAGGTGTGGGAGTGTGGCTGTATGGGCTTGAAGATGTATGGGACTGGTATGGGTGAAAGGTGCAGTTGTCAGAGACCCAGGGATTGGATGATGGATGAATGGGTGGGTGAGTGTGGCAGGTGAGTGTGGGGTGGGTGATATAGGTTTTAATGAGGGTGGTAGGTGACTTAAGTGATTAGGTACGTGAGCAGCCTGTTAGAGTAAAAAGTCAGGCAAGTGTGGGTGTGGTTGTGGCGCTGTTCAAGGTGTGGATGTGAGGTTGTGGGGCTGTTCAAGGTGTGGATGTGAGGTTGTGGGGCTGTTCAAGGTGTGGATGTGAGGTTGTGGGGCCGTTCAAGGTGTGGATGTGAGGTTGTGGGGCTGGGCAAGGTGTGGTCTTGAGGTAGTGGAGGAATGGTTTAAGTGTGTGTAGGTATGTGGCCATGAGGGAAATTGCATGCATGGGTTGTATGAAGGTAGGTTGATGGTTGGGATGGTGTGGGTGAAGGCATGTAGCCACAGGGGAATTACAGAGGCAGGTGATATTGTTGTGGGAGGCAGGTGTGGGTTGTAGGCAAGTGAGAGTTGGAAGCAGGTGTGGGTTGGAGGCATGGTATGGGTGAAGGCATGTGGTCATGGGGGAATTATAGGGGTGGGTGGTATGGGTAGAAGTTGTGGACAGTATGGGTGAGGTTGCTAGGTGTGCAGTGATGGGGTGTAGTCATGGGGAAGAAAAAGGAAAGGTTGAATGAGCAGTTGGTGTGGGTGGAGGTGTGTGACCAAGGTATAATACTGGACTTGTATGAATGGTATTAGATAAGTAGGAACAGAATGCTGACCCCTCGCTGAGTAGCCTCATCGCCAGACACTTAAACCTTCACCCAACATGCCCAACGCCAATTTCTCACACCTTTCTGCCCATTTTTACACCCTTCTGTCCATATGTCCTAGCCCCCACCCACCTTCACCCATCCCTCATTCAGCTCTGGCCATCCCCTCACCCATCTTCACCCATTCTCTCACCTGCCTTCACCCATCCCCTCATCCAGCTTTACCCATCCCCTCACCCACCTTCACCCATCCCTTCACCCACATGCCCTCAACTCCTGCCCATTTGTCAGAGAGCTGTAGAATAACATCTTCACCCAACATCAGGCCTCCATCTTCACCCAACATCAGGCCTCCATCTTCATCCATCTCCCACAGTTGCACTTCACCCATAATCTCTCCCCAAGCTTACCCCATATCCCCATCATGCTTTCATGTCCCTCACCCTCCTCCCATATGCTTTCATAACATATACTCCAATGCCAAATGGGACATACCATTGCTGAAAGGAACATGGGACAGCATGCACCCATGAGCTACTCTTACCCCTCTGCTTAGAACCTGACTCACCTGTCTTCACCCAGTACCCTGTCCTCACCCACTAGTTCACAGTGCTCCCACCCACTAGCCCATAAGACAAAGGAATCACCCTGAGGCTCTATGTGAGACAAAGGGAAAAGAATACAGTTCCCATACGCATACTATACCACGTAAATTTATTTTTTCAGTGTTCACCAAAAATATTGCAACTGTGTTATAGCAAAAATGTGTTAACAAATCAAGTGTTAGCCAACAGTCTACTGTATATATTTATTGACTGTATAGGTCTTTTAGTATAAATCAGGCTATTAAAAGTAAAAATTCTGAGTTTGTATAGGCAACTGAGTTAAAAAATGGTTGTGGTTAGAGGGAAGGGGTAAAGGAGGTATTGAGTGTTAGGGGCTTGAGCATTCAGTAAGTCTGTAGGTGCATGTTAGATCAGACTGAATGGACATGAGTGGTTTTCATGACTTTACATGCTATTGGAGTGTCAGCAAGGTAACATTTACAAAGGGATTCAGGGCAAACACTAAGCAAACTTGAGTCCTGGATGTGTGAATTACAGTGTCAGCACTCTTAAAGAGGGATAAGAGTGTTTTAGTCCTGAGAATCATTTGAATTGTGATGTTTGCACACTTCTACTAAGACAGCTATTAATTAAATGAGTTATGGTTAATATGAATCCCTTTATGTATCACTCTATCTCAGTGGGAGATGGCTGTTGTGTTAAAAAATAATGGCAGCAGTGCTAAGTATCTTGTAATCTGAACAAGTGACCTGGATGTAAATAAATGAGAAGAGATCATAGAATTAGTGTAGTGTGTCTGTCAAACATCTACACAGAGTAGTAAGACAAATTAAATAATTACATATAGTGTGAAGAGCAAGGGGCTAGAACCCCTTCTGTATAAATTACTAAATTTGTTTTTTCAACACATCAGCCATCTCCCACTGAGACAGGGTGGCCCAAAAAAGAAACACTTTCATCATCATTCACACATAATCACTGTCTTTGCAGAGGTGCCCAGATATGACAGTTTAGATGTCACTCCAAATAGCCAATATCCCAAAATTACTAAATATAAAAAGAAAAAACTTTCATTTCTTCTTTTGTGAGTCACTCTGCCTCTGTGGGAGATGGCCAGCATGTTAAAAATATATATGTTAAAAGCAGGGGGGGATATAGTGTTGGAGTGGTTGGTATTTTTGTTTAATAAATGTATGAAAGAGGGGAAGGTACCTAGGGATTGGCAGAGAGCATGTATAATTCCTTTATATAAAGGGAAGGGGGACAAAAGAGATGGTGTATGGTAGGATTATTATTGAAAGAATTAGAGGCAAGACAGAATGTAGGATTGCAGATGAGCAAGGAGGTTTTAGAGTGGGTAGGGGATGTGTAGATCAAGTGTTTACATTGATGCATATATGTGAACAGTATTTAGATAAAGGTAGGGAAGTTTTCATTGCATTTATGGATTTAGAAAAGGCATATGATAGAATGATAGAGTGGATAGGGAAGCGATGTGGCAGATGTTGCAAGTATATGGAATAGGTAGTAAGTTACTAAATGCTGTAAAGAGTTTTTATGAGGATAGTGAGGCTCAGGTTAAGGTGTGTAGAAGACAGGGAGATTACTTCCCAGTAAAGGTGGGTCTTAGACAGGGATGTGTAATGTCACCATGGTTGTTTAATATATTTATAGATGGGGTTATAAAAGAAGTAAATGCTAGGGTGTTGGGGAGAGAGGTGGGATTAAATTATGAGGAATCAAATACAAAATGGGAGTTGACACAGTTACTTTTTGCTGATGATACTGTGCTTATGGGAGATTCTCAATAAAAGTTGCAATGGTTAGTGGATGAGTTTGGGAGAGTGTGTAAAGGTAGAAAGTTGAAAGTGAGCATAGAAAAGAGTAAGGTGATAAGGGGTATCAAATGATTTAGATAAAGAAAAATTGGATATCAAATTGGAGAGGAGGAGTATGGAAGAAGTGAATGTTTTCAGATATTTGGGAGTTGATGTGTCAGTGGATGGATGTATGAAGGATGAGGTTAACCACAGAATTGATGAAGGAAAAAAGGTGAGTGGTGCATTGAGGTATATGGAGGCAAAGAAGGGAATGTATGATTCTATGAAAGTATAGTGGTACCAACACTCTTATATGGATGTGAAGCTTGGGTGGTAAATGCTGCAGTGAGGAGGCAGTTGGAGGCAGTGGAGATGTCCTGTCTAAGGGCAATGTTTGGCGTAAATATTATGCAGAGAATTTGGAGTGTGGAAATTAGGAGGTGTGGAGTTAAATATTAGTCAGAGGGTTGAAGAAGGGTTGTTGAGGTGGTTTGGTCATTTAGAGAGAATGGATCAAAATAGAATGACATGGAGAGCGTATAAATCTGTAGGGGAAGGAAGGCAAGGTAGGGGTCCTCCTCAAAAAGGTTGGAGGGAGGGGGTAAAGGAGGTTTTGTGGGCAAGGGGCTTGGACTTCCAGCAAGCATGTGTGAGCATGTTAGATAGGATAGAATGGAGACAAAAGGTATTTGGGACCTGACGAGCTGTTGGAGTGTAACCAGGGTAATATTTAGTGAAGGGATTCAGGGAAACCGGTTATTTTTATATAGCTGGACTTGAGTACTGGAAATGGGAAGTACAATGCCTGCACTTTAAAGGAGGGGTTTGGGATATTGGCAGTTTGGAGGGATATGTTGTGTATCTTTATACGTATATGCTTCTAAACTGTTGTGTTCTGGGCACCTCTGCAAAAACAGTGATTGTGTATGAGTGAGGTGAAAGTGTTGAATGATGATGAAAGTATTTTCTTTTTGGGGATTTTCTTTCTCTTTGGGTCACCCTGCCTTGGTGGGAGACGGCCAACTTGTTAAAAAAAAAAAAAAGTGTAGCATGATGAGAAAATCTGATAAATATATATAAAAATATAAGTGCAAACAAGCAACCAATGTTCTCAGAGTAAGTAATCCCTAACATAGATTTTTACAAAATGATTAACCTATAATTCACTTACCTAATCTTTTGTTTCTATAAGATGGTTCTCCAGTATAATCATCAATGATAATTTCACATTCTTTAACTAGATAAGGTCGCGTATCTCCCAAGTAATGTACCAGCACTCTGTGTGGAACCTTGGGAGAAGTGTAGCACATTCTTACAAGGTATGGCTGAGCTTCATTAATCTTGTCACAAACCTCAACAATTTGATACAGTCTTGGCTGTATTTGAAGTTTTCCTAATTCTTTCCATGGCAACAGGTCAGGGGAATCATCTGAAAATAACTCTCTCATGTATTATATATTATAAAAAATAGTACTGATTGCTTTAATTCAATATAGAGTAATTCATTAAATAAGATACATACAAAACAATAATTAAATAAAAAATACTGTAAGAAAAATTCATAATAATGTACTGAATGTACAAGCACACACGTGTGCACACATGGAGCAGAAAGAGAGAGGGCCTGGTAGTGGTCAGTGAAAAGGCAAGGCCAGGAGCTATGTCTTGACCCCTGCAACCACAAATAAGTGAGTACATATACTGCCAGAAGCTCACATCAACCAGATAACCTCTGCAGCTAATGCTTGCCTGGCATATCTGAGAGTGGCCTACTTGAATCTCAACAAAGTCATTCTGGGCTCTTTATACAAACTATGTCAGGCCCAGCTTGGAGCATGCAGCACCAGTGTGAAACCCACACCTGAGGAAGTCATTTATGACACTGGAGAAAATGCAGAAGTAAGCAATGAGGTTAGTTCCTGAATTAAAGGGCATGAGCTATGACGAGAGGCTAACAGAATTGAATCTAATGACATTGGAGGACAGAAGAACCAGGGAGGACATGATAACAACATACAAAATACACAGGAATTAATAGGGTAAACAGGCAGGAAGGAAGGCTGGGTAGGGGTAAAGGAGGTGTTGTGGGCGAGGGGTTTGGACTTCCAGCAAGCGTGCGTGAGCGTGTTAGATAGGAGTAATGGAGATGAATGGTATTTGGGACCTGACGAGCTGTTGGAGTGTGAGTAGGGTAATATTTAGCGAAGAGATTCAGGGAAACCTGTTATTTTATATAACCGGACTTGAGTCTTGGAAATGGGAAGTACAATGCCTGCACTCGAAAGGAGGGGTTTGGGATATTGGCAGTTTGGAGGGACATATTGTGTATTTTTATACGTATATACTTCTAAACTGTTGTATTCTGGGCACCTCTGCAAAAACAGTGATTATGTGTGAGTGAGGTGAAAGTGTTGAATGATGAAGAAAGTATTTTCTTTTGGGGAATTTTCTCTCTTTTTGGGTCACCCTGCCTCAGTGGAAGATGGCCGGCTTGTTGAAAAAGAAAAAAAAAACAAGCACAGGATGTTTGAAATGAAAGAAACAGAGATCTGGAGACACAAGAGAAAGTTAAAGACGCAGGTGAGCCAGAGAGATGTTAGGAAATATTTCTTGTCACAGGATGGTTGGGAAGTGGAAGTTAATAAGTGCATGTGTTCTGCTATTATTAATAAAATCAGGGTAGTACTTTTTATTTTTAACACACCAGCCAATTTGTATTGTTATATAAGTTTATATTATAATTCCTACTCTAAGATTGTTTTCATATCTTAGTGACTATATTGTGTGTGCAATTAGTGTATATTTCAATTATATTATTGTTCAAGGCCCTTAACTATCTTTTGCTAACTAGTACCAACTACCTCATATATTTTTGTTTTTTTCTACTTTTTTTTTATTCTTTTGCTACCTTAACTTGTATATTTTATCTTGTCAATTTAAATCTAGTTATACTCTAATTCTTGTAAACAACTTATATAACACCTTAGTGCAATTACAATTGAGAGTCTTGTGCCTTTTTTATATTATTAGATTAAAACACAGCTGTACTATAGTCAATACCAAATTCATTATATTAGACCATATTGCAATTACTAGTGAGAGACTGGTGCTATTTTTAATTTGTATTGTTATATTATTAGATTAAATCTAGTTGTACTATTTTATTTATTTATTTAGTAATTTAAGCATACATACAGAGGTACAAAAAATACAGGTAAGAGCAGCATGCCAAAGCCACTTATATGCATAGCATTATGGGCTGGCTTAAAATTAACTTAAGATTAACTAAGCAATGATGAAATCAGTGATAAAACATTATTGTAAACAGATAACTATAAAGCACAAATGAGTATTACAAAGACAGGTCATATGGTTGCATGCATTGCTGTACATTCAGTCGAATGGAGTATTCTGTTAGGTAGTGTATTTAAAAAAATAACAAAGTTAGATTGGGTCCTAGGTTTAACATTTGTGTGATATAATTGTGAGTAACATATAGGATATACAATTTATAAGGTTCAGTTATTCAGTATTTATTTGGTTTTGAGTGAGTAAGTGAGCTTTGAGAAGAGACTTGAATTTATAAACAGGTAGTGTTTCTTTTATATTTACAGGTAATGAATTCCAGATTTTAGGGCCTTTTATGTGCATTGAGTTTTTGCATAGCGTGAGATGGACACGAGGAACATCAAAGAGTGATCTGTGCCTTGTGTTATGGTCATGTGTTCTGTTGAGGTTGGCAAGGAGATGTTTGAGGGGAGGGTTAATATCAGAGTTAAGTGTTCTATGTATGTAATAGGTGCAGTAATAAGTATGGATGTTTTGTATGGTGAGTAGGTTGAGTGTTTTGAATATTGGTGGAGTGTGCTGCCTGTAGTGAGAATTTGTTATCATTCTAACTGCAGCCTTTTGTTGGGTAATTAGTGGTCTGAGATGGTTAATTGTTGTTGAGCCCCATGCACAAATTCCATAGGTGAGATAGGGGTAAATAAGAGAGTGATAAAGGGCCAGGAGGGCTGACTGTGGAACATAGTACCATATCTTCAATAGTATGCCTACAGTCTTGGAAATTTTCTTAGAAATTTGTTGTATATGTGTATGAAATTTGAGTCTATTATCAAGGTGGATTCCTAAGAATTTTCCCTCTGTTAGCTTTGTGATAGGTGATCTGTTTATCGTTATGTTAAGAGGTACATCTGTAGCTCTGTTACCAAACTGAATGAAGTAGATTTTGTCAATGTTTAGTGTAAGTTTGTTAGTCCTCATCCAGGTAGATATTTTCTGTAATTCGGTGTTTACAGTATTGGCTAGCGTGACTGGGCTCGGGTGAGAGAAGACGTATGTAGTGTCATCTGCAAAAAGTGTGGGTTTGAGTAATTGCGAAGCATTTGGTAGGTCATTTATGTATAGGAGAAAGAGAAGAGGGCCAAGGACACTTCCCTGGGGACACCAACTGTAATTGGTTGAGCGGAAGAGCTTGCCCCATTTGCATACACATATTGGCTTCTGTTGCTGAGGTATGACTTGAGGTAGTTGAGGGAGTGCCCTCTAATACCATAGTGTGACAATTTTACGTGGAGCAAGTCATGGTCAACTGTATCAAAAGCTTTACGTAAGTCAATGAAGATCCCCAGTGGGACTTCTTTTTTCTCTATTGCAGTGTATATATGTTCTAGCATGTGTATAATAGCATCATTAGTATTTTTATTAGGCCTGAATCCAAATTGGCAGGGGTTGAGAATGTTTTGGGAGATGAGGTAGGAGTAGATTCGTTTATAAATTAATTTTTCGAAGATTTTTGAGAGAGGGTGTAAATTGGATATTGGCCTATAGTTACTCAACTCTGTTTGGTCTCCTCCTTTATGGATCGGGGTGACCCTTGCTATTTTGAGAGCTGTAGGGAAGGTGGAGGATTCAATGGATTTGTTAAAGAGTGTTGCAATGATTGCTGATAGTACTTGTGACACTTTTTTGTATATAAAGGGTGGTAAGGTATTTAAATCTCCTGCCTTGTTTTTTAGTGTGTTGATAATAAGGGAGACTTCGTATGGGTTAGTCGGAGCTAGGAACAGTGTGTTTGGGTAGTTGCCAGTGAGGTAGTCATTTGGTAGTTATTTGATTACCACTTTATTGTTCACCACAACTTATATTAGTCTCTTTTATATTATAATTTTATATTATAATTCTAACTTTAAAGAATTACCTTTAAAGTACTACCTACTATCATATTCCCAAGCTCCATTATTTGATCATCACTTTATTTGTTCACCACAAATTATTTTAGTCCCTTTTATATTGTCTCCTTTATTTTAGCTTTAAAAAACTACCTTAGCTCATTATTTTTACATTTGTTAAATAATTCAGGTGCTATTTTTTTAGCTTTAGAATATTTACTTTGTTTTATACTTAATTCTAACTATAGATTCACTACAAATCTTATGATTACAAGCATCGATCCTGATACCAACCTCTTATTTAATGACTTAAAATGATTCAAACAGTTACTGTAATTACTACACAGCAGAACAATCAAAGGCACTTCTCAGAGCAACAAAACAACATAACTATCTTTAACTACAATATCATATCTTTAAGCAAGCATTACGATGACCTCCTAGCATTACTAAATTCCTTTCATGCCAATATGTCCATCATTACACTAACTGAAACCTGGCTAAAGCCTGATACTACAGATGTCTATGCCATTCCTGGTTACACAGCCATACACAACTGTAGGCCAGACCAACAAGGGGGTGGCACAGCTATATACTACTCAGACCAACTAGAATGTATCACTAATACTTGCACAAGGGATGAACATGGGGAATATATAATAGCGAAATTCAAATCCAAATACAGTGGACCCCCGCATAACGATTACCTCCGAATGCGACCAATTATGTAAGTGTATTTATGTAAGTGCGTTTGTACGTGTATGTTTGGGGGTCTGAAATGGACTAATCTACTTCACAATATTCCTTATGGGAATAAATTCGGTCAGTACTGGCACCTGAACATACTTACGGAGTGAAAAAATATCGTTAACCGGGGGTCCACTGTACCTACAAAAACCTCTCACAGTGATAAACATCTACAGAGTTCCACAATCAAACATTAGCCAATTTAGTCAAAACCTAGGAAGTATGATAACTGATGCACGCATGAACAAAGATCACTTACTACTCTCAGGTGACTTCAATATAAATCTCCTGCAAGACCAGGACCCACACGTTACTGAATTCACAAACACAATGAGTAACTGCATGTTGCTACCAACAGTAACAAAGCCTACAAGATTTACGGAGACTAGGTTTCCCTATTGCCAATTGGCCCCAAAAACCATTTCCCCTTTTAAAAATCAGGCATAATTACAGAAAAATACACGACCACTCCCCTACTTTCCTAAAAACAACTCTTGGTAAAATCCCA